TTTTATCTTGAAGTAGGGTATTTCAAAATAGTGGCAGGATGCGATTATGCAAATGAAGCACGGGAAATTCAAATCCGCATTTCATTTGCAATTTTGCTCGTCTGCATTTGCATTTCTCTCTTGAACGAGGAATGCAGTGTAGACATACCTTCTGTAGAGATCAGGACCTATGAAATACAGGATGTGTGCAGTATGTGGCCTATGGAAAGGTAAGAGCATCTTGGGTAACGCTGTCCCATCATATCCCCACATTGACTTAGACCCTATAGGGAAGGGAAGCACATTGCATGCAAAAGAACAGTAAAGAGTTACTGCTGTGAAAACAGCTTATTTCTCTCAACAAAGCAGAGGTCATTTTGCATTGTGGGGAACATTTGATTTTACATATCCACATCAATGCATAGAGTCACCCTCCAGGGAGGAGAATCAAAGTCACTGAACTGGAAGGGAATGTATGTAGCACCTTTATTTTAAATTCATAGCAAGGTAAGTCTATTTGAGTTCAGTGTTTTCTAAACACACATCTGACTCTGCTGAAATCTGCTCCAGAGAAGGCTGTCAGCCTAGGATCCCATGTTCAGTTACGTGGAGCATGAAAGTTTGTACGTGCATTGTGCACAGAGGCTCGTACTCTCTCCACTTTACACATCTCACATACTAAAGAGTACCAAAACTAGAAAGAAACGTTACAATGTAAGTAATGTCAATGGGCTTTATTGAGGCAGCGTTGCAGTCTAAGTAAGGCTGAGCATCCCACTGTGTTTCAGAGAGGGCTAGAATAGACAAAGGTTTATTATTAATGTAATGTCAGAGACCAGAAATAGGATTTTAACAGACAGCCTTATAATGATGAAGTGTAATAAACATGGCTTCCAGCTGCTCAGTCCTGTTCTGAGAATGGCCCAGCCTGGATTCATTTAAGTCGACTGGCAAAGTGTTGAATACAGCATATGGTACACTAAAACCACAGAACTTACTGACAACAGCCTGGACTTGTTAGAGAAAATAACTCTTTTCAA